CATGGGGTGGTCGTACCAAACACACACGCCCCGGCAGCGAGACTAAGGGCAAACGCAAGGTTCAGCTTATTCCCTTGAGGCTGCAATCTCAATCATCATCCCCTTGGCATGTGGGGCAGTGCCTGAAATTGAAGGCACCACCCCTCGACCTGAAGGGGGAACCAGAGCTGCCAATTCCAGGACCGGGCCGAGAAAAATCACCACCAACCGCATACAGATAATCCACTATTAATTAACGCGACACATTGGACCTCAAATGCAGTGCAAATTTGCACTACATGTTGCTTCCTTGGTTCTCCCGGAGCTTGCATTTAGGGTCGCCTACACCTCTAGATTTCTGCAATTCCCAGAGCTCCTGGTTTAGGGTTCTTAGGAAGTAGAGTCTTCAGGGTTCAAGGAGTTCAGGGTTTAGGGTTTAAGGTGTTCAGGATTTGGGCTTTCATGGCTTAGGGTTTTCAGCGTTTAGTGTTTTCAGGATTTAGGGGTTAAGGGTCTTTAGTGTTTGGGGTTCTCAGGGTTTAGGACTTTTAAGGTTTGGGGTTTTTAGGATTTAGGGTTTTCAGCGTTTGGGGTTTTTATGGTTTAAGGTGCTCAGGGTTTAAGGTTTTCAGGATTTAGGACTTTTAGGGTTTAGGGTTTTAGGGTTTTAGGGTTTGTGGTTATTGGGTTTGGGGCGTTTGAAGCCTTGGAGTGTTCAAGGTTCTTAGGGCTTAGGATTCGGGATGATTAGGTTCAACTGTGTTTAGGGTTTAAGGTTTTTAGGGTCTTGGGGGTTTGGGGATTCCGGATTAAGCATGTCGATTTGGGGTTTAGGGTTTGGGGTGTAGGGGGGGTACTTGGAGGGCTCTGCCTGGCTCGAGGAATTCCGATGGGGATTGGGCACGAGCCCTTTGCCGAGCGGGCAGACGAAAAGTCCGAAGGTTGTAAAAAGATACTGAAGTCGTGCTATCTCTTGTTTCCAGTTGAAGTCGAACGCACACAGTGGGCACGGAAGGGCGACTGGCAAACATGACATGCAGTGCAACATTGCAATGCACCAAAGTGGTGAAGGATGTGAAGGCTTAGGGTTTCAGGTTGCGGCCTGACAGTCCGGTTGGGAAGACATTTTCCTGTGCTTCTAAACTGTGGCGGACCCAAAAAACTAAATCCCACGCCTTAACAAACCCTACAGCCAGACCCAAGCTATGGTGCTTATATCCCCAACCCTGAACCCCCGAAGCCTTAAAAGACCTTCAGTCCAAACACCAAACTTTAAGGAACCCATGAGACATATTTGGGTAACTAGGTCCTATAAGCCATACCTTGTTTGGCTAACCCTTACAAACCTTCAAACAAGACCCTAAACTTGACACCCTAAAGAATCTTAATCATGAACTAGTGGTTAAACCCCAAATCGACAAACCAATCGAAGCCTCAAAAACCAATCCAACTGGACCCTAAGCCCTAAATCTTAACTTGGGTCTCACCTTCCACCAAACCCTACGCCCTGACGAACCTTAATCTGGAACCGGGCCAGCCAAACAGGGGCCCCTTAAATCTAAAGATATGTTCAATCAAAATCTCAAACCCTGATCCCTGGCGAACCATAAACCCTAACCTCGGGGTTAGCCCAAAATCAACAGTAGCTTCTAAGCATAACCGAACAACACAAACCCGAAGCACTACCTTGCAACCTGCTTCGAGACCCTAGACCTTAAAGCACAGATGGATTTAATTCGACATTTGAGGACCACCAACCTTAAACTCGGCAACCCAAAGCCAAAAGCCTACACCCTGAACCACACTAATCATCACGGATGCACGCTGGACGGAGAACGAATCAAGGACGCTGGACGAGGAAGCAGATGCGCACTGGCCAGAAAGATGATGGAACGGGACAGCCAGAGGCGCAGCAGCACGCGCACAAGGAGATGACGGCCTGCAGCGCTCCAATCGCCATTGCGCACATCCTCACAACCCCGCATGGACATAGTTTTGAAATGAAGACGGGAGTGCCATGGAGTGCCTATGATTGGGACTGATTGCTCGCCTCGACACAACACAGGCAACACAGACAAAAAGAGGGACCACCACAGAAGAACTTGTAAGCTTTAACAGACACATGACCAGACTTCATGGATAAGAAAGCTCCTTCACCTGTTTCAGAGATCACTTCCAGCTGGAGATCGGAGACTCCAGAGCCAACGAGGGGCTACATATCACTGCGCCAGATTTCGCCCCGTGAGGTATTAGAAAATAATCTTACGCGGAGTCCGCGATCTGCATCTCGAGATGCATTGGTTTTGGATTGGGAACTGTTGTTCAGTGTGTTCTCAAATGATGTAGAAAGAAGAGTTGCCGCATACATACCGTGACCTCTAGAGCCGCAATCTCTTTTGTATCTTTGGAATTTTACCGCCAAGAGGTCGCGTCCGCCTCATGGTTTCTGAGACTTCTCCATGTAATTTTTGCATCTCACCAGTGTCCTGCAATCAATGGCAAACATGACGGGACGATTGCGCTCTTGTCTTCTGCATGGGCGCTATCCACCGGCAACAGGCTTCATTCAACAAACAGCATGTGCAGCCATGGACACGTGCTGGAATTTGCCTTACAAGTTTGAGCCTGTTTGGGGTATGCTGTCGAAAGTTATGGAATTGTGGACGTCTTTCAAAGACAAATGAAAGCCGGAGGCGCAAGATTCCAGCTTTGAAGCGACACTGCCATAATCGACAAGCGCATGGGTGCCTGCAAAACTGGCATTGGTGAAGAAGCATATGGGATAGTACACGGGAGGTCAGTGATTTTGCACAGTGACTGAGTAACAGTATTCTGAGGTCATTGGTTTGCAGGCTTCGCCGTAATTCGCAGTAACAGCGTGTACACAAGTTGCGTCAGTCATCTCAACATTTTTTTCGGTCGGGTAGGAAAACTTGCCAGACGTCTGTGAATCTCTAGAATGCTGAGTCGTTTTGGTTGAGAGCAATGGTGGAGCGTCGCCAGCGCGACACCAAAGAGGACGGGACAGTTGTTGAGTTGCTCTGGTAAACGTGAAAAAGGCACAAGACTACACAGTGACTATATTGATGTTTCGCAGCGTCATCTCAGAACTTGGCTGCATTTAGATATCTCAAGGCCGCAGCACACATCTTGCTCTCATGAATCTGGGTGGCTGCCTCTTCAATCCAGCAGAAGCTGCAAGCATTGAAATTAGGGTCTCAGGGCCTTTCACAGTGAAGCCAAGAATCACCTGGCGCTGGATCCAGCCCTGTGCTGGAAGTGAAGATTTGAAGAAGTGAGGCGCAGGGATTCCTTCCCAGAGCTCAAAGAATGGGAAGACACGAGCTACTTGACGGTAAGGTTCTCTCCTGCTTTCTAGAAACCATTCAAAACAGTCGTGCCCATCCCCTTGCGCGGTACAGTCGCTGCTTTTTTGTGCCAATGCCTTCTATGGCGGATTCCCGTGGTAGAAGAGTATGCCCTGAAGGCCAACCCTTGACCAGTGCCAGCATTCACGACCGTTTGAACTATAAACTATGAGGGGTTGTTTGCTTCTGTTCATGGCACCCGAGCTGGGACCCTGGATGTAGCAGAGTTCCAGCAAGGCACTTTCAACGCTGTTGCAGATGAAGTGAGTCCTCGCAGAGCTGAATTATGCACACATAATGGCTTGCCATCATACCATCTTTCAAAGAAGCTTTTGAGAGGGAGTTGGGGGTACGCAAGCGCTGCAGTTCGGTCCTCGCTAGGGATTTGTATCCAGGAGCTGTTGCAAGCTTCCATCGCAGGACGTTCTGATGCGAGGGTCTAAGCTGCCCCAGGCCAGAGTGGCTTCCTGCGCTGATAAGCCCTTGTCTCTGGTCGCAAGGTTTGTCAGGGCATCCTGGTGCAACAGCCAAGCCTGCTGGAGGACGCCAGACTTGTTTTTGGCTTTTGCGCAATATGCCGATGGCATATCCTTCACCCAGGCTTGTGACAGACTGGGGCGAACACCCCTCATTCTCGCGGCAATGAACGGCCATCCAGAGGCAAGACTAAGACTAGAGAGCCAACAAAGTGTTGGTCATTACATGGCACAGTTTGGGCAGGTCTGCAAAATTTTTATTGCAGCAGGGGCAGACGTGGAGGCTCTTGACCGCAGTACTACAGAGCATGTATTGCGTGATAGATTGGTGTCAACATAAGCTTGTTCGTTGATGCCTTCCTTGACTACAGACGCCAAGCAAACATGCAATCCATCAAGTGTTGATCTCAATGCAGCCCCACGCCACCTGACCAATGGGTCAGGGCGGGATGGAATGCAGCTAAATATGGCTGATGCCGAATCTTTCCCAGAAGTTGCACAAGTCACTAGTCTTGGCAAGCAACACAGAGCAGCACTAAGATGCCACCAGGGCGTGGTTCGCATCTGCTCCTGCGGAGGTCGAACAGGATGTCACAGTAAAGGCATTGATTTGGGCCTCCATGGCTTGATAAAAAAGTCATACAGAATCCACGGGGTGCAAAGGCAGCCGCACAGAAACCACGCCCCCGCAGCAGTGTACTCCAATCTCCTCGACGCCTGGCTGTGCAAATATCTGAGCTATTGCGCCCAGATTGGTGCATCTCCGAAATCATTCAGGTGAAACCTCTGATATTCTTTCTAGCCACTAGACAAATTTAAAGCAGAGAGGCCTAAAAACACGTTCACGAAAAATGCGTAAAGCCCCAAACTCGAAAGGAAACAAACCCCACAAAAATGAAGACCCTGAAGACCCGAACCTAGAAACCATCAGAAACCCGACTATATATAAACCTTGAAGACTACAAAGTCCTCTACGGCAAAAAAAAACAAAAGCTTTCAACAACCTGTCGAAGCACAATCCGAAAGCCCTAACCCTGGGAAAACAAACAGGACCTGAAACACCAAAGAACCTGCAAATTGTTAAGTACACCTTACGGCAGCACCAGCCCCGACAGTACCCATACCCTGCACACTTCACGCCCAGAGAAACCTAAACTAAAACCCTAACAGGTTTAGATCCTTCAAAACTCCCAGACCTAAACACCCTTAATCCTGAAGACTGTACCTTCGCAGAAGAAACGACAATGAAGCACACCAAGCCCCACATGGAGTAAACCCGACAAACCCGAACCTAAAACCATGCAAAGAAAAAGGCCCTGGGCCATGACAAAAAAGCAAAAACAGACTTACAAGCCCTGAACTCCAGAAACAAGAACGACATGAAGCCAAAAAAGAAAAGCCTCGAACATCCGCAAACTCCAAAAAGACTTAACGTTGAATCAGCCTTCAACTCCAGCCTTGGACCCAAACCAAAGATGGAACCAGCAATCGATGGAACCGCAAAGCAGCAGCGAGGCTGAGAGCCTCAAGAGCCCCAAAACGAACGACATCTCCCGACTTCTCCTCGCGACTTCTCCTCATGTCTTCAACTGTCTTCTCGGCTGTGGTCAAAACGCTCAGCACCCATAATGGTCTCTTCGACCAGCGCTGCTCCCCGGCCGTGCCGGAACACCTCAGCCTGCTGCCCCCTGCCCACAGATTCTCGCGGGAGGAGTGGTTTTCAAGCTCGAGGATCGAAATCACAAAGATTGAGATTGCAGGAGTTGCATTCGGGGAGTGGTAACCTTGACACAGATGCAGGAGCTCACTGCCACCGCTAGCCGACAGCGTCCATCCGGTGCTGCGTGCTACCTACATCTGCCCTCGGCCACAGCCACATGCCACCGCCCATCCTGCCAGGCTGTTTCCTCTTTTTTTGAGGACAAGATCCCAACGTTTCCGGTTGGAAGAACATGCTATGAGCAATTCTCGCTGACGTCACGATCTACCAGAAAATTGCAAGACCTTGTTGAATGTCGAAAGGGCTACGCAAGGCAGTGCCAAAGGCGCTACTGACGCTAATGTATTCCACATCCCATACTTGAAGCCATGCTCGTGTTTGTTCAGGCGCACGGTTACTTTTTATGTCCCCTTTCTCCTTGAGATGTGGACAGGCTGTGGACAAAGCTGACAAAACCCCGCTGGCCTATGCAGCTGCCCGTGGTCATAGTGTCCGCTCATCGTGTTTTCAGCTTGGCATTGACCACAAGACTGATACTACTGACGCAAAATACAACGCAAGGAGGTTGCTGCATTGCTCCTGGACCATGGCGCGGAAATTGAGGCGCGGAGGTTAAAGTGTTGGAACATCACGGCATTGTGTTTGCACACTAGCTGGAAGTAGTCTCCCACGCCAAGTGTCAAGCAGAGTGGGCTTTGTCAATCTGGCTGTAGTCTTTCGCATTTTTGCTCAGAATTCACCAATCAATGCGTTGACTTGCTGTGCGGCAATGTTCCTTGCGGTGCAGGAACTGCAACCTGCATACTTGTCAGGCCACGGACTGTATTGTGAGGGACATGGGATGTGCAGTGCTTTGAAAAACCTATGCAATCATCATTTCATCAGCGCTTGGATCTCTCTAAATGATTTTCTGACTAAGGAAATACTCGCGAACGTGGACGTAAAATTGGCGAATATCTTATCCTGTCGGGGATAGAATTTCGTCGCGTTATCATGAGATGTAGATGCACTCAGTTCTTAATTTAATTTTGCATCATGAAGGGCAAATATTCAAAGGAAATCGCGCATGATCTTGATCTGCACGAGCGGATGACCTTATTGGATCGGGTAACGACCATCTCGTGATTTTTATCGAATATCGTTTCTTCTATAAATTTCTCAAATAAATAAAATGAAAAAGAATATTAAAAAGAAATGAAATTATGATAGATGTATTTTTTTATGACATCGCTTTAGATACCATTGTATTTTTATAAGCGGGTGCAGGGCAACCCCTTTTTTTGGCCTTGGCGCGCGCCTCCAGCGGCAGCCTCGTGGGGCTTCGACCGGCGAATTTTGAAATTGCTTCGTTTATGCGGTTAAGAGTCTAATTTGTTTATTTGGCGGTGTTTAATGACTTAACTATGAAAATCTCATTTTATTTGATTAGTTTATATTCTGAAAAAATTTGAAAATATATATTATCGCATTTAATTTTGATTATGGCATTATAAATATGATATATTTATTAAATTTCTGTTCCAAATCTTATTATTTTCATATACTAAGATTAAGAAATATTACTAGATATATTATATAGATAGATTCTATATTAATCTATTTTCATTATTACTTTTAATATATATATCACATATTAGATATTTATATATATATATTCTGAATTTGAATTGTTGTTTTGTTCTCTTAAGCACGGTGATTTATTTGATATACATATTTTTCTAAATATTCTAATTTGAATTTCATTTTGATTGGGAGGAGATGAGATTTCGTAATTATATATTTCATGAGTTGATTGATAAAAAATCTTGATTGAAAATCGAATATTTGAATTTTCTTTTGGATATATTTCATTGGATATATTGATATTCTTTTCCCTGAATCATGTACGATATTTTATTCTTATATTTATAAGGAGGTATTTGATCGTTGGAAATTATATAATTTTCAGGAAATGAGTTGTGACTATGATTTTGAAGAAGAGATTCAATTTAAGTTATATATCTTTGAGTCTATAAAGGGTAATAATGAGGAAGATACGAGAATTTTGGAATCGTTAATGAAGGAAATCGATGATCTTCAGGATATCAATTTAGATGGATTCGATGTATTTATAAAGATAAATCTCAATTATCTTCTAAGATCTTATTTCATATAAAGACGAGAAATTTGATAAGTAGAAGTCTATTCTATCTCGTTACGATATTTTCTTGATTGAATCTCTCTTTCAATGATATTTTATTTTCTTTTGTTATAGATTGATTATTATCAAGATATTTCTTCAGTGAAGGTTGGAGGCGATAGTTGATGCATAGATATGAAAATATTTTTAGAATCAAGATTTTGTTAAATAATTATAGTCTCTTTCTGCGGCATGGCGGGGTCATTTGGCGTTCAGGGGATGGAGATAGATTTTAATATATGATTTGATAATAAATATTTTTGATTTCTGAACCGATAATTTAGAAGTTAATGATGATATATTTCATGAATATATCTTCTAAATAGGAGATGATTTCTTATTTATCATTTTCTAAATAATTTTCGAGATTTTAATATTTAATCGATATAGAATTAATGATATTATAATTGATTCGAAATGATATTTATAGATTATAGATATTTCTGGATTCTTATTTTCTTGAATTAGTCTTTATTGATTTAATAAATGAAAATTTATATATTATGATTTTCTTTCATAATTCTATAGCGAATTATTTGAATACTTTATTTTTCTCTTTTTTTATTTTCTTTTTTCTTGATTTATTTATATTATATTTTCTTAATAGTTTTCTTTTATAATATATAAAAAATATATGATATGATAATTGAGAAATTATTATTTTGATAATAATTGTCATTTTTCTGATAATTATTTTAATGATTTTCTTCTTCGGGAAAATATTTTTATTTGATAATAATTTTATTGGATATGGATAATCTCTTGAAGATTGATTTTCGTGCCTACTCTGCAAGTCTGAATACGAAATTAAGGTATATAGATATTTCAAATTATTGCGAATGATTCTTTAATATGAATGTAATATTATACGGGAGACTATTAATTATTAGAATTTATGGAGGATTAATTTAGATTATAAGTCTCCTTCAAATATTTTTCTTTTGTCCCTTCTGAATTCTATTTAAATCTCTTTTTAAGAGGTTCGCTTCCCCCCCTCTTCTTAAGCCCTTCTTAAATTTCTTCAAGCCTAGTAACGTCTCTATTAGAGTCTTCTTTCAAGGCTCTTCTAATTATTTTTTGGCCTCTCCTTAAATTTTCATTCGGTTCCCCTAAATATATTCTCTTTTTAGCTTATATTATAATATCAATTAAAAGGGATAAAAGATTTTCATAATGATCTCTCCTTTTAATTTTTCGTTTTTATGACGTCTATTAAAAAGGACGTAAGATTTTCATAATAATTTCTTTTATGAAGTCATTTAAATTCTACGGCTTCCTTAAGTTT